TTGGTGCACAATAATTAAGCTAGTGAATTACCGTTATAAATCAAAGAATCAATTGCACACTAAAAAAAAATCCAATTACACTAAAATAAAACTGCTCACTACCATCACCCCTTTTTCAATTTCCATGTGAACCCAAAATATTTCACTCACAAAACAAAATAAATTAAAAACTTATGTAATAACCAAAACAATGAGCATAATCACAAATAAAATATAAAATAAGTTTCACATACAAAGGAAAGTATATATAGTCATAGGTGAAAAAATGCACAGTAACAATAATATTAATCATTCACCTTGTTCACAATTAAAATATAAAATAGATTCCACAATAATTTACCTTGTTCCCGAGAGAAAAATAAACACAATTATTTTACCTTATTTTGTTTATCTTGTTTCAATCCTGCAATTGGTAGAACATTCGTGCTGAAAACGTGTTGTAAAAATAGAGCAAAATAAGACAAGAAATATAGAAGATAAAAGCAATAGAAATAGGGAGACAAGAGATGAGAGCTTTTCTTATTATTCCAAGTCTTCAAGTGTATACAATATGAGCCCTTATGCCTCTATTTATAGTGTAACATAGAGGCATACAAAAGGTTAGTCATAAACATGACATTAACATGAATATAGTGGGGAGGTTATGGAAGTGAAAGGTTACAAGAATAATGGTTATATAGGTGGAGGTTATGGAGGTTATGGTTATCTTCATAATGGAAGAAAGTAATGGAGTAACTTCTTGATGTAGTGGACATTCACAATATATTATTTATAACATTTAAGGAAATTTAAGAAACTATTTATTAACGATTTCTCGGTGAAATCTTTAAGTATAAATGTGATTTCATTCTAAACTGAATTTTCTTTTTCTTTTTTCTCTTTTTTTTTTTTATCCGTTCACTTCCTATTAAATAAACATGAACATCCAAACTATATATTATGTAGTTTGATTTTAAAAATTTTGGTATATTTTTTATTAAAAATAATAATTATTTATGTTACATAGTTTTATTTACAAAATTTTAGAATACCCATTCATTTTTTTTTACTTAAGCAATTCTTAGACACCCTTTGTGAAATATCTGGCTCCATCACTGTCTACTTGTATCGACACTTTAATTTACTTTGATATTTGTGTCTACTTTCAGTGCTACCTAGATGATGAGATTAACATCTGCACTACTTTTTCTCATTTTTTAAAAAAGAAGAGCGTACACCCTTAAATTTTATTTTCTTGTAAATTTTTTAAAAAGAATAAAAATATCAATAACCAATTAGATTTTCATCTGATGTGTCCTTTAGTCTTTCTTTAGTAATATCTTCAACTTTCTTTTATATCATTATTTGGTAATGAAGGTGCAATCAAGGTAAAATGGAAATCCCAAAGCAAAGGAATTGCATAGTATTAATATCTCACACAACACAAAAAACGTAAAACTAAATCTTATAATAGGAAAATACATTAAAAGTAGTTGCAAAAGTAGAAATATTGCACTAAATAAAATATAGATAAACCAAAAATTTACTCTTCTTCCAGTTGATGAGTCCTAAGAAGACGCGGCCATTGATGCCACTCATATGAAAAGAATAAGTAGTACTGATTTGCTGTCTACACTGACACTCCAATTTCGTACAAAAATTCTGCAGTATTCTTTTCCGAGTCATATGAAATAACCTTATCGCCTACAAGTAAGTAAAAGATGTGTGGATTAACCGAATGAATGTCTGTGTATAACATCTTGATACGAATAGATCCAATAACCTCTGGACAATTAAGAAGCGCGCTAGTGATATTTACAACATACTTGATAACCCATACTGCATCATTAGTACTACGAATATTGCTCTCGAGGTACCACAGAGTAATCTCTCTCCTGTTACACAATGCATAATAGAGAACCCCATCCGATACTCCAACAGCACTACCGGTCCAGTCATCCATCTCATCAGTCAATTTCAAATCCCAGAAACGCCTGTAGACAGTATCATAAAGAATGATATGTGAGTTTGGGTCAAGCTTCCAAACGAACATTCCATCGATTACCCCAACTGATCCTGATCTCATCCATCTAGAAATGGGGTAGCTGATAGGCGCAGCTTGCCTGAGATCGATGCTAGTCCACATGTGTTGGTGTGAATATTATGTGAATATTGATCTTCTCAATAACGCAGACAAGAAGTACAAAGAGTACTGGGCCTGCACATACAGATCCAGATATCTTATCGGTTATTTGGTCTTTTGGGCCTCAGGTGGTTAACGATCTCAGCCAACAGTGGGCTGAAGTATTATAAACTAATCTACTTCTACAAGTTAACTACAAATAGGACAATACATATAACGTTAGGATTAGTTACATGTTAGGAGTCTTTTTCCTTGCTGTTGGTAAACTGTTAGGAGTCTTTCTTTTGCTGTATATATACAAGGCATTGTACAATTGAAAACATCGATCAAAATACATAAGAAAAGTTCCGCATATATCTTTCGTTTTCTTACAACATGTTAGTCTCAGAAGAGAAGCTTTCGATTGTTACACCACCACTTGGACCAGTCCATGCTTCATAACGAACTATAGTAAATGAGATCACATCTTTTTCAGGGTCATCTACTTTACAATGAAATCCAATGACTGCAAGGCTTACATAAGACGTTAGAGTTACAGGGACGACAAAATGTTGCCTCGTTGCAGGATTATAAACATAGTAAACACTTTGATTATATAAATCCTCAGTAACAAGAAGGAAACCATTAGAGGAGGCCATAATATGCACTCCCCTGCCAAGAAAATTAACTGACTCGTCTAAACTACCATCAATCACTTGTGATGATTTCTTCGATGAGAAGAAAAAACGATTTTGTTCATCAACTTCATCTCTACCTTGACAAAAGAAACCCATCATGTAAGGTTGAGGACTCCATCGTTGAGAACGACAACTATAAGCGATAGATGGATCATCAATACACTTCCCCCAATGCTTACACACGGATTCAAACCTTGACAGATTTTGAAGGCAAACGATGTAATATTTCGATTAAGTTGTCTTCACACAACTCAAGTACGGGTTTACAAGACGATTGTTCCATACTAGTAGTCATGTGATTGATCTCAGACATCTAAAAATAACTAGTAGCATCTCTATTTATAATAATACGAAACCTATTTCAAATCAAAAAAGGAAAACCTATTACTATACTACAATTTATGAATATAAATCCTATTTATAGAAAAATACTAAACCTGCTCCAAACCAAAATAGGAAAACATATTCCTATAAACTTATGACTATAAATGCTATTTATAAAAATACTAAATCTGCTCCAAATCAAAATAGGAAAACCTTTTCCTATACAATTTGACTATGGATCCTATTTTTAGACATGAATTGAAATATCAAATCCTGACCAATTTTGATTTGTACATCTTTGAATTGTATTTTCCAAAAATGAATTAAATTACTATTTTACTAAATGTGAAATTTTGTTTTAAAAGATTAAAAAAAAAGTTAAGTGAATTTGAGATAGACTTGTAGTGTACAATACTACTCATTATGTCTCAACTTACGTGACACTCTTTCCTTTTTAATCAGTTACCCAAAAAAGTCATATTTGAAAACTATTTACTAACACCATCCCTATTTTACCCTTATTGAGTCATTCGTAGCACTTTATTATTATGAAGAAAAATTAACCTAAATGTAAGCTGTGAAGTGACTTTAATATGAACAGTTTGATAAACGTATCAAAGTCTTCCTTATTTCTTAAATTTCGTATCCAATCAAACAATGTCATATAAATTAAATTGAAGGGAATATTATTCAACAATTCCATAAGAAAGTTTTTTTTTTTTTTGTTAAAGGTACAGTTCTTCATCATGTTGATAATTAATTAGATATCAGACTTTCACTTGTTGATAGTTGTTAGAGAAGACGCGGCCATTGATGCCACTCATAAGTAAAGAATAAGTAGTCTTCAAATCCGATATCATAAATAAATTCCGCAATATTCTTTTCCATGTCGTATGAAATAACCCTACCATTTATATCCATATAAAAGATGTGTGGATTAGCAGGATGAATATCCACCATCATCACACCAACTTCTTCTTCTAAGTTATAATAATTCTATTCATAAAACTCAAGTAAACTGGAAAACCTTTTACTATGCAAAAGTTTGAATACAAATCATATTTAGACATAATTATAAAACCAAATCCTAACTAATATTGGTTTCGTAACTTTAATTTATTTTTATCTGATTGCAGAATTAATCCTGATTAGAAGATACAACAATATTGGATCACTAATTCATAGTTAATTATATGAGTGGATCGGATTAATACATATGAACTGAGTAATTTAATTCACACATCGAATTAATACCTAAATGAATACAAGTGATTTTTTACGGATATTTCACCTTTTTAGACAACGTAAATTCTGATAATACTACTTATTAGCAACACAACATCAGATTAGCAACAGAAACAACACAACGTAAGACCAAAATCAAATATAAGTTACACAAAAACAGAGGAGGGCTACAAACTTATAACCTTTCACTCTATAAGCAAAATACAAGTTTGAACTAACATAAAAATTTACATTTGTCGTATTTTCTTCTTATGCAAGGTAGTTGTAAAACTATTCCCTGCAGCCTGCACTAACTCCTTGAAATGCAGTTCTTCATCATCTCTTTTCGATTAGATATCAGACTTGATAGTTTTTAAAGAAGACGCGGCCAACGATGACACTCATAAGTAAACAATAAGTAGTCTCCCACTCCCATATCATACAGAAGTTCTGCAATATTCTTTTCCAAGTCATATGAAACAATGTTACCATTTATTTCCAGATAAACGATGTGCGGATTAGCAGGATGAATATCCACACACATCACCTCGGCTTGAAAAAGCCCTGGACAATAATTTACAAGTGCATTGGTTAAATTTGCAGTATATTTCCTGACCCATACTGCATCTTGACTACGAATATTGCTCTCGAGGTACCACAGTGTAAGGTCTGCCTCGTTATACGATGCATAATAGAGATCCCCACCCGATACTCCAAGACACCTAGAGTACAAGACATACATCTCTTGATTCAATTGCAAAGCCCAGAAATGCGTATTGACACTATCATAAAAAATTATCTGTGATTGTAAATCAATCCAACAGAACACACCATCGATTACCCCAGCTGATGCTAATTTCATCCATCTATTAAGGAAGACTCTAACAGGTACATCTAGCGTGATATTGATGTTAGACCACATGTTAGTCTCGGAAGAGAAACTTTCAATTGTTACACTCGAACCAAGATCATGCCAGGTTTTATAACGAACTATTGTAAAGGAGATCACGTCTTTTTCAGGGTCATCGACTTTACAATGAAATCCAATAGCTGGCAGGGTTATGGAGGATCTTTGAATTTTAGGCACGGAAAAATGTTGCCTCGTTGCTGGATTATAAACATAGTAAACCTCCTGATGTAATAAATTCTCACAAGTAAGAATGAAACCGTTAGAAGATGCAATAATACACAATCTCCTGCCAAGAAAATTGACTGACTCATCTAAACTACCATCAATCACTTGTGATGATTTAGTAGACAAAAAGAAAAAATGACTTTCTTGAAATTCTTGAACGAAAACTCTACTTTGATAAAAGAAACCTATCATGTAGGGGTGAGGATTCCATCGTTGAGAACGACAACTATGAACCAAAGATGGATCAGCAATACACCTCTGCCAATGCTTACACACACATTCAAACCTTGCAAGAGATTTTGAAGGCAAACGATGTAATATATCGATTATGATATCCTCAGACAACTCAACTACACTTTTATCAGACAATTTGCATACAAGTTTCATACTGATACTTGTGAAAGTTTTTATTTTTTTATTAACAGCCCTATATATAATAGTTGGAGACCTTGTTGGACTATAAACTGGAAAACCTTATCCTATGCAAAAATTTGAATACAAATCCTATATATACATGAATTAAAACACCAAATCCTAACCAATATTGGAGTCTAACTTTAAATTATTTTTAGTATTGGAGTCTAACTGATTGCAGAATTAATCCTGATTAGAAGATTCAACAATATTGGATCGCGGAATTCATAGTGAATTATATGATTGGATCGGATTAATACATATGAACTGAGTAATTTAATTCACACATTGAATTAATATCTAAACGAATACAAGTGATTTTTTTTATGACTACTAAACCTGCCCCAAACCAAAATAGGAAAATCTATTGCTATACAACTTATGACTATAAATGTTATTTATAAAAATACTAAATCTGCTCCAAATCAAAATAGGAAAACCTTTTGCTATACAATTTATGACTATAAATCCTATTTTTAGTGTGCAATACTCATTATTACGTGACACTCTTTCCTTTTTAATCAGTTACCCAAAAAAGTCATAGTTGAAAACTATTTACTAACACCATCCCTATTTTACCCTTATTGAGTCGTACTTAACAACACTTTATTATTATGAAGAAAAACTAACATTAATGTAAGCTATGAAGTGACTTTAATATGAACAGTTTGATAAATGTAACAAAGTCTTCCTTATTTCTTAAATTTTGTATCCAGTCAAACAATGTCATAAAATTAAAACGAAGGGAATATTATTTAACAATTCCGTAAGAAAGGAATTTTTTGTTAAACGTAGAATTCTCGTCATTCATCTCGTTTTGATTCTTCAATGTATAATTAATTAATTATCAGACTTCCACTTGTTGATAGTTGTTAGAGAAGACGCGGCCATTGATGCCACTCATAAGAAAACAATAAGTGGTCTCTCTGTCCGAAATCATACAGAAGTTCCGCAATATTCTTTTCCGAGTCAAATGAAATAATCCTACCATTTATATTCAGATAAAAGATGTGCAGATTAGCAGGATGAAAATCCAGAGACTCTACATCAGCTTCAAGACCCCATGGACAATAATTTACAAGTGCATCGGTTAAATTTGCAGTATATTTCCTGACCCATACTGCATCTTGACTACGAATATTGCTCTCGAGGTACCACAATGTAATGTCTGCCTCATTACACGATGCATAATAGAGATCCCCACCCAATACTCCAAGACACTGACCATCAAAGGCATACATCTCTGGATTCAATTGCAAAGCCCATAAACGCGTATTGACAGTATCATAAAAAATGAACTGTGATAATGCGTCAAACCAACAGAACACTCCATCGATTACCCCATATGACGCTGATTTCGTCCATCTATGAAGGATAACACTGATAGGTACATCTAGTGTGATATCGATGGTAGACCACATGTTAGTCTTGGAAGAGAAACTTTCAATTGTTACACTCGAAACAAGATCATACAAGTTTTCAAAACGAACTATTGTAAAGGAGATGGCATCTTTTTCAGGGTCATCTACTTTACAATGAAATCCAATACCTGCTGCAAAGGTTACGCAGGATGTTATTGGAGTTACAGGGACGGAAAGATGCTGCCTCGTTGCAGGATTATAAACATAGTAAGCCCTCTGATATCTTAATTCCTCAGCCATAAGAAGGAAACCGTTAGAGGATGCAATAATAATATACAATCCCCTGCCAAGAAAATTGACCGACTCATCATCAATCACTAATTGTGATGATGATGATGTAGTAGATGAGGAAAAAAAATGAACTTCTGGAATTTCTTTAACGAAATCTCTAACTTGACATAAGAAACCTATCATGTAGGGTTGCGGACTCCATCGTTGAGAACGACAACTATAAGCCAAAGATGGATCAGCAATACACTTCTGCCAATGATTACACACACATACAAACCTTGCTAGAGATTTTGAAGGCAAATGATGTAATATTTCGATTATGACATCCTCACACAACTCAACTACGCTTTTATCAGACAGTTTCATAATGAAGAAAATAATTCTAATTCTATTCATAAACTCAAGTAATATCCATATTTATAATAGTAGGAGACCTTCTTTGACTATAAACTGGAAACTTTTTCCTATAAATCCTATTTAGACCTGAATTAGAACACCAAATCATAATCAGTTTTGGTTTCGTACTACTTTTGAATTATTGATCTCAGAAGCTTTTGAATTATTTTATTTAGACCTGAATTAGAACACCAAATCATAATCAGTTTTGGTTTCGTACTACTTTTGAATTATTGATCTCAGACAAAACAAGTCCTTCAGAAGTATCTCAGATAAAATACTGAATTCTCAAGCAAGTTTAAGGAAATCACAACTCTCAATTCAATCGAATCTTGGATTTTCCTCCAATGAATTGGAATTTTATAACTAATAGTAAATTTTTATCTAGTCAACTACTCCATCCGTTTAAAAAAGAATGTCCTAGTTTGACTTGAAATGGTGTTTAAGAAAAGAAAGATTTTTAAATCTTGTGGTTCTAAATTAAAGTTATGTCAAATGTACCAAAATGCCTTTTAATCTTGAGAAAAGTTAAAGTGTTGCCAAAAAATGAAAGAGATCATTCTTTTTTAAACGGAGAGAGTATTAAATTTTAGTATTTTGTTTTTCTGCGAAGTTCCAACTCATGTTAGTATTGGAGTCTCAACTGATTGCAGAATCCTTATATGATTGGATCGGTAAATATTCTAGCCAAATTTAATAACTTGGGGATAGAGTTGGCTCATAGTTTAATTATCCTCAACTGTTTCTATCACACTCTTGATTAAGAAATGCAAAAGCTAAATGTTCACATCAATAATATGATCTCAGATGCAATGTGAACAAAATGAAAGCAGATAAAACACAGAAACTATCCTGTAATTAACGGAAGTGTTCTAAGTTCAATAAAGAGGATTTGAGAAGGAAAAATCCAATATACTATATTGATCATTTTGATTGATGTAGAACAATGGATTTCTGAAGATAACAACTGGCAGCTAAAAAATAAAAAGAATATTTTTGTCATCGCGCCTAAATCCAGTTTAAAACTACATCAGTTTTCCAGAGAAGAGCTACAAAATTCCCTGGGAAGTATATCCAGCTAAAAACAATTTCTATACACAGTTGTTATGTGGTTCAAAACGGAACTGTGTAGGGCAATGCATACAAGTCAACATCAGGAAGGTATTGTGCCCGTGGCTGCCACAATGAAGAGCAGCTTCCACAAGTTTTGTCATTGCTGCTGCCTACATTTTTTTCCTCAACTCGAGCTTGCTTAGGTTTTCTTTGGAACAGCCATGATTGATCATCGTCCAAATCTAGATTATCACTTGGCAGACTTGGTGGAAGCCAGTTCTCAATCAAATTCTTGTACTGAAATTCTATGCTGTTCTCGTGCACTTTGGAACATGATGGAGTTGCATTGTCTACAGCCACACGGTCAACCCACCCACAATTGGATGTACTAGGCTCTGAAACTACTACAGGAGGAGGACAACTTCGTTTGTTTGTAGTTTTCAACAAAGGGTTGGCTCTTTCAGCAGATGCCCTGACAGTAACTTCCGCAACTTGTTGAGCAGGTTTTGGCAAGTGCTTCTCTTTGGAAGAAGCTGATATTTCACCTTGCATACCCTTTTTAGACAATCTAATTCTGATAATGCTACCTATTGTCAAGCAAGAAAACTTCAGATTAGCAACAGATACAACACAACATAAGACCAACATAGTAAGTATGATATACCAAGGGAAAGATAACTACCATGCGCCTGTATGCCACCACGTGAAGGTGAGGCAGGCCTCTTCCTTTTATTACTATTCTGGGTGCTGTCGGATGAGCAGCTGGAATTCTGTGAACACACAGCAGGCTCATGTTCCTCAGTGAGATTGCTCCTCTCCAACTGCTCAGCTTCATCTTCTAGACATTTAAACAAGTACTTCCCTTTGGACTCATGAGTGGCCTTGTCAAATCCAAGATTACTCTTCTCCTTTTTTGCCTTCTTCTCTTCTCTTTTCTTTTCCTTCTTTTCCCTCTTCCTGTCCTTCTTTTCTGCTTTAGCTACCTCCCTCTCCTTTTGGAGCTTTAGAGCACCAGGATAACAAGTTCAGAATAGAGGGAGATAGAAGACTAATACAGCATGACCAGAAGGATAATGAACAATTAAGATCCCCTCATATATTCTGAGGATCATTCACTGAACTTTTATCACATCAAACAGACATGGATGTAGGCAATGTAGGCACCAAACATGCGTTGGGTTCACAACATATACTTCTATCATTATGACAGAATACAGAATCTAAGTCACCTAGTTCTATTTATCACAACAACCTGGCCCCAGGTCTTACATGAAGTTGCATAACAAGTGGTAACCAAGAACAATCATGCAAGACTCCCAACAAAGGGACAGTGATGCAAACACCCAATCAATTAAGCAGGTAGAAAAGAATAACTATATTACAGAACACTTCACATTGTGGACTAAACAGAATAGTCACTTTCTATTTGGTAGTTGTGACACACAGAATAGTCACTTTCTATTTGGTAGTTGTGACAGGGTAGGGGAATCGTAAGAACAACTAATTTCACTGACAGGAACCTCATTAAAACCTTTTAACATGGAAACAAACAGAAAGACAGAGCAAGAAAGAAGCATGGCATGGACCCATGTTCAGCAGGGGACATTCATATTCATAAGGCTACAGCTTCAATTGGTAGTTTTAGCTGCAACTAGTAGTTTGAAATACAGTTTTCAGAAAGGCTTTTCAAATATGCATAATGGTAAGTTTTTGTATGAGCAATCTGCCAAAATATATGACTTTTGAAGAGTACCTCAAATTTAGTTTTACCCAAAAATCTTTTCTAAAACATCTTTGATATATCGTGATTACAATTTTAAAAACAGTGGATTACAAGTTAGAAAATCTACTACTCACGCACAGTGCCTATTCTTTCTAGTACACCTCTTCCTCAAACAAAACATTAAAGCCTCAATGATTGCCTACACTTCCAACTTCTCATTACGATTAACACATTGAAAGCCTAAAAGTTGCCTAAACTTACCACTTCTCCATCTTTACCATAGGCTAGAATGAAATCAAATTGCTCGGATTTTCTATAACCTATCTCGTAGAATTCATCAATTTCTGTTAAATCCACAAGGTGAGTACAAAAAAGTATAAACTAATCCTCATTTCTAACCAGGTACAATTAATAAATCCACACAAATCGTCCTACAAACACAGTCAATTTATCCCAGCGCAAATCAAATCCACTCTGTACATTATATACAAACCCTAAATCCAAGTTCACAACTAATGCACAACCCACGAAAACCACAAAATTTCCTTAACAGATTTACATAGTATAGATCCCTGCTAGATTATATCAAGCAACAAGAGCGTAAACACATAAATTCAAGTGCTCTTTGTTTCAACAAACCTTAATCGATTCGATCAAGGCTTCATTGCTGGCTCTATTCAGCGAATAGCCAGGTGGTGGGTATGGGAAGCACCGAGACATCCTCAATACACAGACAAATCCCTTTTCGATTTCAGATCTGAGACTTCCCTCCCTTTCTTTACCAAAAATCAAAAACAAATTGCAAAAAATACAACAGTTTGGTTCAGATTTCAAATCGATTTGGCACGATACAAATGATTACTTGTGATTGAATCACAAAATCAAAAATTTCTGGAAACCCTAGAATTAGGTTACGGCGTCTCTCTCAGAATATTGAAAGAGGCGGTGATTAATGTAAGGCCAGTAGGCACCACATAATGATGTATTTATAGGCGGATGGGTGGCCGACTTTGAACGCGTTGTTATTTTTACCTTATTGCCCTTTTGTTTTCCTTATAATTATGGTAATGTCCCTTTCCTTAGCAAACACGGGTAGTATCGCCGAAGGCCCATTACCAATTACAATTAGAAATATTTTATAATTTAAAGATATTACTTGGCTAGTGATTTGAATTTATATTTGCAATTTTGAGATTAAGAGAATTAGAAGTTTATTGCATTTTGTAAAACATTACATACATATAATCTAGGGAATATATTAAAATGTGAAAAATTATAATTATTGTGGTTCTTCTTCTTTTCTATTCCAGTTTTGTTGGACGTAGTAATCTAGTACTTATTGTAGGTGGGGAGATGGCACGTGAAATTAGTCAAGGTGTGCGAAAACCGATCCAGACATATAATTATGGAAAAGAATTATAATTATTGTAAGCTTAATTGATTTAATTTGATTTAGCTCAAAAAAAAACAGCTCAATATATTAAAATGTGTAACGTATGTTTGGTATACAATCGATACATTGGTATATGCAATAAATTAAGTAAATATTAAAAAATCATACCAATATGAATTATCATTAAATGATTGAAATTCTTTTATCCTTAATAAAAGTAAATTTTGCTTCGTGAATCTGAATTAATCAAATTTTAACGTGACAATTGAATAATAGTACTCCCTCCGTCCCTTTTTAGTTGTCCACTTTAGAAATGGCACACAGATTAAGGCAACAATGATTAGCACAGTGAAGTTACAATTTTACCCTTATGACAACTTTTCACTTCAAAATTACAACCACTTATTTGAATTCAAGTGAAATAAATTGGAGGGAAACAACATACACTTTTACAATTTTCAAGAAGTGTAAATAAGGGTATAATAGGAAAAAATTTGTTGTCCTTTCTTGATTTGTCAAAATGGACAACTAAATAGGGACAACCAAAAAAGGAAATATGGACAAGTAAATAGGGACGGAGGGAGTAATATGACAAACTAAAAAAGGAACAATCACTATCAAAATTATACAATGATTGATGTGCAAGAAATATTAAATAATACTGAAAGGGATGGAACAACAAGAAACTTCATGGAAAATTTTGGTAGCTCAGTTGATGGATTATCTTTTGTCGGTGTAATTTTGATTTCCACCTCATATGAAAGAATAAAGTGATACAGTTCATAACTACTATATCCAAGGTCATATCTTTGTGAAGTTAGTGCATCATGTAAAATATATATAAAAAAAAACTTCCTTCCCCGGTTCCCTCCTTTTCCTTTCATTTTTCCCTCCTTTTTTTTCATGGGATGATTAGTTGTCCAGCAAGTTGGGCCGAGATTTTTCCCGAACCGACGGCTATGGGGCCCAATTTAATTGCTGACGTGGCAAACTTTGAAACCCTCACTAAACCCAAAATTGAGTTGTTTACAAATCGCCACAAAGGCCCATAGAATAAAAGTTTGCATTTTCCAGAGATTTTCGGAAGAGGAAAGTGGATCGCCGGAATGAGGAGAGTCAGTAGAATCGCCGCCTTATACCGGGCAGTGGATGGTGCAGCCGCCGTGGAGGT